GCTGGCTGAGGAATTCTGGGAGTTGAAGTCCACAAGTCTTAAAGTTGCCAAGGTTGGACACCCCTGGTTTAAATCCTCCCGCAGGCTTCACCGGTCACCAAACAAGACCTCCCTCTGTTTAGGGCTTTTGAAAAAGGAGCAATTTGGAAGAATCACACACCCTTCATTCTTCCTCGTTAGGGATATATTTGCAAAATTCTCCATAACAACAACAGATACAGATTTCTTTCTCCCTCCCCTGTCGTATCCGCAATGCACACATCCTGCCCGTTAAACCGAGACTGGGTTAGGAAGAAAATCAAAGGGAACAGCCACACCCCACCCTGAGAAATGTCCCCCAAGTCAGTTACCCAGATCATAAACCCCCCCTTTCCCCCCCTCTGCGGTAAAGCTCAGAATCGGGTAGGAATCTCGGTTGCTTGCCGTGAGACTCCGGCAATTTTCCTCTGCCCCCCCAGGGCAGTGAGGGTCACAGTTAGAAAAACGTGAAAATATGAATGGAAAAAAAAATTTGCATTTGCTTAACATCCCATCATAAGGGACGTGGCGGCTCAGTGGATAAGATGCTGAGCTTGTCAATCCGAAAGGTCGGCAGTTCGGCGGTTCGAATCCCTGGCGCCGCATCACGGGGTGAGCTCCCGTTCCTTGTCCCAGCTTCTGCCAACCTAGCAGTTCGAAAGCATGTAAAAAATGCAAGTAGGAAAATAGGGACCCCTTTGGTGGGAAGGGAACAGCGTTCCATGCGCCTTCTTTGGCGTTTAGTTATGCCGGCCACATGACCACGGAGACGTCCTCGGACAGCGCTGGCTCTTCTTCGGCTTTGTAACGGAGAGCTGGGAACAACTAGCACGTATGTGCAAAGAAGGGGAACCTTTACCTTTTAACATCCCATCATATTTTTTCCCCATGGCTTTTCATCAGGGGAGGGTGCTTGTTCACTGTCCCCAATAGAACTGTTCGAAAAGACCAGCCAGCTGCCACCTAATGGGCTTCCCCTGGTTTGCCCACACACACACACACAACACACACACACACACCCTAAATCTTACCTTCTGTGCATTCACACATGTAAGCGTTTGGTGCGTCCACACATTTGGCTCCGTTCTTGCAGGGTGTGCTAGCACATTCGTCGATGTCATGTTGACACAGGTGGCCATTAAATCCTAAGAGAGAAGAAATGCGCAGGTTTGAGCCAGGGTGCCTCAACCCCCCCTTCCTTTCCCCCCCCCCCCCCAACCTTCTTGGAATCACGGAGGGGAACTTTTTCAGCCCGGTCACACACAGACACAGATATTTCACAGTGATATCTTCCCTAAACAAACAGGGATCGGAAATGACAGGCAGAAGGATTTAACGGAAGTGGTTGGGGAGGGAGGGGCAGAAGGGTATCCTCTCTCCCCCCCTCTCTACCCCCTCCCACCTCCCCCTCTCTCTCTCTCTCTCTCTCTCTCTCTCTCCTCTCTCTCTCCTTTTTCTACCAACACTTTTCTATGTTTTAGTAATGATGGACGGTTCCTGCAGATAAACCTGGAAAATTCAGAAGAACCCCTTTCCCACTTTGAATGGAGTGGACTCGATGGAGTGGAGTGCAGTATAGTACAATTCTTTACTGGCCAAGTGTGATTGGACACAGAAGGAATTTGTCTTTGGTGCATAAGCTCTCAGTGTGCATAAAAGAAAAGATACATTCGTCAAGAATTATCAAGTGCAACACTTAATAATAGTCATGGGGTACAATAAGCAATCAAATCACCCTAGGAAACAGTCCATATAAATCACAAGGATACCAGCAACAAAGTTACAGTCATACAGTCACAAGTGGGAGGGGATGGGCGATAAGGAGTGATGAGAAGATTAATAGTGATAGTAGTGCAGATTTTGTAACTAGTTGGAGAGTGTTGAGGGAATTATTTCTTTAGCAGAGGGATGCCCCAAAATGTGGATTTCATTGCCAAAACCTTTCCCAGTTACCCCTTTGCAAAACAACCTCACGGCCCAAAGCAGCGTCTCAAAACAAGCACTTGCAAAACAGAATAAGAGAATAGCTAAAGGGACCTTGGAGGTCTTCTAGTCCAACCCCTGGCTCAGGCAGGAAACCGTCTACCATTTCAGACAAATGGCTGTCCCATCTCTTTTTTTAAAAAAACCTCCAATGTTGGATCACTCATAACTTCTGGAGAAAAGCATTAATTGTTCCACTGGTTAATTGTCCTCCCTGTGAGGAAGCCTCTCCTTAATTCCAGGTTGCTTCTCTCCTTGATTAGTTTCCATCTGTCGTTTCTTGTCTTGCCTTCTGGTGCTTTGGAGAATAATTTGACTCTGTGGCAACCCCTTAGATATTGGAACACAACTAAACCACCAAATTACCTGCCCATTTTGAGCCCAGTTTTACACAAATGTTTCTAATGCTCTTCTCGACTGTGCTACTCTCACAGCCAGACTAAACATCAAAATGAGGCTGTAATAAGGACTCTTTCCTATAAACACACACACACACAAACCCACTCTACTTGCATTTCCCTTGCAAGGCTGGGACAGGCTGCAGGCAGACTAATTTCAAGATCTCTTTCTGTGATTCATTGGCATTCAATCCCCAGTCTCTCTTTTTTTTTCTTTTTCTTTCTTAGATGGCTGCTATAGTTATTTGGCTAAATCAGGTTCCTGATTTACATCTCTAAAGATTCCGCTTCAAAGCCGTTTTATGAATTAGCTGCCCCTCCTCCCCGTCCTCTTGTTCTACCCCACAACCTCCAGTGTCCCCCCTACCTGGCTATTCCCAGGGAGAAGGCGGGCTCCCAAAAACTCCCAGAAAAGAAGAGGCAGGTATAAATCCCCAAATTGTCCCCCTTTTTAATTCTCTGAAGAGAAGAAAATCGTCTCTCTCTCTCTCTCTGTATTGGCTGCAATCAGTGTGGCTACAATGGACGTGGCCATGGGGTTGGATTCAGCTGGTTCGGCCCGGTTCGAGCGATCCGGATGTTAAATTTACATCGACCGGCTGGCCTGTCGGTGGGACGTCTCAGTATGCCATGCCCGCCCAGCAACCGGGCAGAGAACCAGTTGCTGGGATTTTTGAATCCCACCCCTGGATGTGGCCCTGCAGAGTAACATCCACTTGGCCTCCTTTCCTTCCTCACTTTCAGCTCAGGGATGCCCAAAGTCAGCATCCCAGAGGCTTTTGAGCACAGGCAGACACTAAGCCAGAGGTAGAAGGTGCCAAAAACGTTGCACCACTTGGACCACTAAATCACTAACCTTGTTATTGTCAACTCATAAAACATCCCTATGCCTGTTTTAGTAGTTGCCATAAAAACAAGGGGGGAGGGAGGAAGGAAATCTGGAAGAGCAGTGCCGCAAAACAAAAGTACATTCCAACTCTTCTCTTTAAAAGGTTGTAACTAAAATACCAGAGCTTTTGTCCGAGAATAGATTTAATTGGAGAACCTGATTGATGACACACCCAGGGGGGACAGGGGGAAACAGGGCCACAGGGGATTGTAAATGACATATGCCAGAGTTGGCTTCATACAGGGCAGTGCCAGTATGTCACCTCTAATAAATCCTTTGAAGTTTTTTGAAGTTTGGCTCGGGAATCATGATTTAATTAGGGCGATGGCTGGAATCCTGACAGTTATCACTAAACCAGAGGTGCATTCCCAGTGCACATTAGGAATAAGCATAATTCGGAAGAAGTGGCGGGGAATTCTCAAGTTATGGCCACCGTCAGAAGCAGAATTTCCATTGATGAAGCAAGGAAATGGTTGAGTAGGATTTTATTTTTTTTTGGCTGTAATTAAGCAAATCACTGCTGTTGTTGAATGAATCCCATGGCTGCAGGAGGGAGAGAGGTTTTAAGAGTCTGAAGAGCACAGGGCTTGTAATGTTGGCCTGGGCTGAGAAGACTTAGGGGTGACTCTCATGTGAGCCCAACCTACTTCAAGGGGATCAACCTAAAGCAGACCCTCATTCGAATTCCAAGGAAAAGGAGGGTTCTGTGAACAGCAAAACCAAAGCCGGCGATGGGATAAGGCACCATGCCGGCAATTCACAGCCTCTTCTTTCTAATGATCCCCTTGCCCTGTTCACCCACTTTGCTTTGCACCTCCTTTCTGAGCCCCCCCCCCTCCAATTTTGGGCTGGCCCCAAAGGGATAAAAATCCAAAGAAACCCCTTTCCCCTTTTCTGGATCTTATTATAGTTTTTAGTTGTTATTTATTATTTGACACTAGAGTTTTTAATTGTATACTTGAGGAGCATTTTTATTTGTTCTTGTCTCTGATCTAAGACTGTAATAAATTGATTGATTGATTGATTTCTCTTGTCTTCCCTGTCCACAAAACACTACGGAGGGCAGCCCCCATTCCAGGCTTCCTCTATGCAGGACACCCGAGACCCCCAAAATGAAAACAGCCCCTCCCCCCCCAAAAAGAACCCGGGGCCCACCGCAACCGCGGCGACAATATCCTTGCAATTCTTTGTGGGGTGGGCTTCAAAAATTTTAGCAAAGGGTTCTCTGCCTGGTTGCTGCGTGGCCGTGGCCGTGGTGGGCGTGGCTTAGTCAGCCTCCCCCACCACTGCAATTGGGGGGGGAGCATTTTTGTCCTCCCCGGGCTCCAGAGGGTCTCTGGAAGCCAGAAACGGGCCAGAAATGAACCCCCCAGCAGCCCACCCCTGGAGACACCTTTCTTTCTTCTGAGCTTCTAAAATGTGATGCCGAACCTCTGGCATGCGTGACCACAGGTGACACGCAGAGCCATTTGTACTGGCATGCGAGCTGCAGGCAAACGTACCTCACTGCACATGTATGCACCTCACAGCTGATTTTTGGTGGGTTTGAGACCTTTTTCGACTTCCCAAAGGCTCGAGCAAGGCTTCTGCAGGCTTTGCAGGCCGAAAACTAGCTCCGTTTCATCACTTCCCGGTTTTCCGAAAACACCGGAAGTGACAAAACGGGGCTAGTTTTCAGCCTGCAGGAGCCTTCCTCGAGCCTCTGGGAGGCCGAAAAAAGCCTCAAACCAGCCCAAAATCATCTGTGAGGCGCAGTGGAGGTAAGGGGGAGGCGGGGGGGGGGGGGATGGCATGAGCGTGGGTGGGGGCGCGCATTGCTTTCTGGGTGCTGGTACACAAGCAAGGGCATGCAAGCGCACGCACAATTATTGGCACAGGAGCCCAAAAGGGTTAGCCACCACTGTTCTAAAAAGTGCATTAAAAAGTAACACCCACCCCTCCCCAGGGCCAACCCTTGTGCCTCTCCCCACCCATCTGAGGGGATCCAGGGATAGACAGCTGCTGGACATGGAGGCTTCCTCTCCCAATCGTGCCTCATAGTAGTGATCCTTGAAGGAAGGTGGGGGTACATTTTAGAACTTTTAAGAGCCCCTCCCCAGCCCCTCCTCCTCTGGCGTGCTCAAAACGAACCGATCCCTCTCTCCCCAACGCTGCTTCGGCCCTTTCCCCAACTGCCCGCCTGAGCTGGGCTTAAGCCCACCAGCCTCCGCATGGCCTCTGGGCCAGGGATTAATTCCAGCCCGGTCTCCACTACAAAGGGTTCGATGCTGTAGGCAAAGATTGATCGTCATCTCCAAAGCCCTTCTCTCCCCTCCCAGCACCTACCCACGGGGCACACGCAGGCAAATTCGTTGATCTTGTCCACGCAGTTTCCGTTGTGCAGGCAGGGGCTGCTGGCACACTCATCCGTGTTGATTTCACAGTAGACCCCCTCGTAACCTGCAGGGAGGGGAAAAAAACAGCGGTGAACGGGAGGGAAAATCCATTGTCAGCTGGTGCTCCGTTCAAAATCCAAGAAAGAAATACTTAAGACTCTTTTAATTAGAGAAAAGATGTCTTTTACTGGAAATGAAGTGGTAGCAACAAGAAGATTCTGAATCTGAGGAAATAGGCGCGTAAATCACATATACAAAGTGATGGAAATGTTCCCACCCCCAATAGTTCAAATGGTTCTTCCAATTAAAAGTTGTGAATATGATCATGTGGACATCCTCAGGTGGTGATGAAGTTTCTGTCCGTTGACCTTGGCATACTTTGATAAAGGTTTGCAGCTGCGCAGAGAAAAGAAAGCTAAGCAAGAAATAGAAACCTAAACAAGAATCTACTCTCCCCCCTCCTCAGTTTATACAATACTAGTTTGCATCACCTCCAGCTCGCTTCCCATACTTGTCCCCCCTCCTCCCCCCCGTTACTTATGGCAGCCGAAAGATGCAAAGCAGAAGTAGAAGATCTTGAAGGCTGACATCCATGGCCTCTTCTTCCCTGGGATAAACAGTTGCTCTTGTTGCAATTTTGAGATGCCCACATTTGCTGAAGTTGGGCAGCTGTAAAAATCTTATACATCAACGAACAGATAAGTTTGTTCATCAATTGGGTCAAGGCAAGGGGGCAGGGAAGGTCCCGACTGGATTGGACAATCTCAGGGGCTGCCCCAAAGAGGAGGAAGTCAAGCTATTCTCCAAAGCCCCGGAGGGCAGGACAAGAAGCAACGGATGCAAACTCATCAAGGAGAGAAGCAACTTAGAACTAAGGAGGAATTTCCTGTCGGTGAGAACAATTAACCAGTGGAACGACGTGCCTCCAGAAGTGGCGGGTGCTCCAACACTTTTTAAAGAAGAGATTGGATAACTGTTTGTCTGAAGTGGTGTAGGGTTTCCTGCCTAGGCAGAAGGTTGGACTAGAAGACCTCAAAGGTCCCTTACTGTTATTTTATTGTGTTCTGTTTTGTTCTGTTCTATTCAATTTGATTCTACTGCAATCCAACCCTACTCCCATTCCATTCCATTCCATTAACTATTCTATTCTATTCTCTATTCTATTCTCTATTCTATTCTCTATTCTATTCTATTCTATTCTATTCTATTCTATTCTATTCTATTCTCTATTCTATTCTATGTATTCTATTCTATTCTATTCTTTATTCTATTCTATTCTCTATTTTATTCTAATTCTATTCTATTCTTTGTTCTATTCTATTCTATTCTATTCTATTCTTTATTTTATTCTATTCTATGTATTCTATTCTATTCTTTATTCTATTCTATTCTATTCTCTTCTCTATTTTATTCTAATTCTATTCTATTCTTTGTTCTATTCTATTCTATTCTATTCTATTCTATTCTATTCTATTCTATCCTATCCTATTCTGCATTCTATTCTATTCTATGCTATCCTATCCTATCCTATCCTCATTCACTCTGTGGCTTTATGAAAACAACCCCTGCTGGGGTTAAACTCATGTCCCACCCAGGGGTGCCAAGACAAAATCTTGCAGCGTGCCATCTCTCTCTTAACCAGCCCACTGTTTTCAGCTACAGGGCTGGCCAGTCCCGGGCCAATCTTAGGGTACGCAGAAACAGACCCCTCCAATTTCTCCCAGGCTCCCCGAGGGAAGTTTTAAGTCCCCCGAGTTTCGTAAGGGTTTGCCTTGCCATCTCAGCCGCTTAATTTCCAATGCTCTTGCCCGGGGATCCATTCGGGCCTTTGTAAAAACAGACTCTGGCTCGGGAGGGGGGAGGGGGGCAAGAAAGGAGGAAGAAGTTGGAAAAACAGAGCAAAGCACGAGATTCTCAGCCGACTTCACCCGGGATGCTTCATCCCTGCCAGTTGAAGACTTACGGAGCAGGTTCGGTGCTAAACTCGGTTGGTTTTGTTTGATTTAAACCTGGCTTGGCATTTTTATGGCTATCCTGCAAATCCAGTGTGTCGAGTTCGTTTGTTCGGCTGCGTTGTGGGCAAAGTCAGCTTATCGCGTGTTCCCTGGAATTCAACCCAGCTGGTGTTTTATGCGGTTGCACGAAGCAACCTGTGAAAGCGTTTATTTGGTTCATTTAACTGGGCTTGGCACGGGGTACAAACACAGCAATTCCATTTGGTTACGGCAGGCTTTTAAGTCGGGGATGACTCTTGAGTTGCTTTGGCCATGGCTCACCCCAGCACTGCTCCAGCCCCTACCCAGGCCTAAGTGGAGCAGTGTCATCCCACTAGCAAGCACCCTGGATCGGAGGGCACCTCGAAAGGTAGCACTAGCTCTAGCTGTCCGACTTATATACCGCTTCATAGTGCTTTGCAGCCCTCTCTAAGCGGTTGACAGAGTCAACCTATTGTCCCCCAACAATCTGGGTCTTCATTTTATGGATCTCAGAAGGATGAAAGGCTGAGTCCACCTTGAGCCAGTCAAGATCGAACTGCTGGCTGTGGGCAGACTTAGTCCGCAATGCTGTATTCTAACCACTGCACAGGAAGGAAGGAAGGAAGGAAGGAAGGAAGGAAGGAAGGAAGGAAGGAAGGAAGGAAGGAAGGAAGGAAGGGAGGGAGGGAGATAGCCCTTAGACTTATATACTGCTTCACAGTGCTTTACAGCCCTCTCAAAGCAGTTTACAGAGTCAGCCTCTTGGCCCCGACAATCTGGGTCCTCGTTTTATGGACCACAGAAGGATGGAAGGCTGAGTCAACCTTGAGCCAGTCAGGATCAAACTCCTAGCTGTGGACAGACTTAGTCCGCAATGTTGCATTCTAACCACTGCACAGGAAGGAAG